AAGCGAAGCGAGGCGCACTCAAAGCAATTTGTTTCATTCATTCATTCATTCATCCATCCATTTGATCATGATGCTGCGCATTTCTATGCTCCAATCCAATTCAATTCATTCCACAGAGGAAAAAAAATCACCGAAATTTATCTGTTTTTCATGAATGAAAGTTCATGATTCGCTTCGATTCGATCGCATTGTTAATGAAGTTGTAAACTATGAAAAGCCAAATTTAAATCGAGTAAAACTCGTTGAAAAGAATCGCAGAGAAGCTATTTCTGGCACAAAAGGTAAACAAATTGATGTAATTAAATAGCGTAAATAATAAGTGCGGCATCAAGTTACAGAGTTAGCCATTCTGTTTATGATCTTCAAACTGTTTACTTTACTTTATTGATGAATTTGTCTAAAGTCACAAGTTTAATCAAAACAATGAGCTGGATGCATATTAATATATTCGTCCTTCCTTCCTTCCATCCTTCCTATAAACATATATCGTAATATCTCCTTGAAATAATTCATCCAAAACAGCATTTATTCAACATGTCTTTCCTCACAGTAAAGTCAATAAAAACTGTACTTGTTTTATATGAGCACAGAAAAAGAATATTAGTTCAGGGTCTAGGGTGTTTCCTCGTCGTGCTCACCCGATTACCTGCTCAGCATAAATATTTTATATTCCAATATAAATAAAATGCAAATAAAGAATTAATCTTGGTGATAAAAGTGGAAGAAAATGATTCGGATAGGCATAGATAAGCATCAGTTGAAACCGTGGGATGATAGATCTTTGTCTGCATCCTCTTGTGGTTCTAGCTTGTTCTATATAAAGCGAATACTGAAGCGTCGCTTAGTCAAACGTTTTTAGCTACTACAACAGCAGCCGTAATGCTTATCTTTTAAGATGCGCTGCTCCAGTTAGAACAGAGATAAAGCTTTGGCCAACCGAAGATCAGAGACAGACAGAAAAATGCCGACGAGATCCATAAGCATATCCAGTTCCAACTGCCAGCTAACAATCAATTAGTCGACTCTCGAACAGAACACACACGAAGAAAGCCTCCAGCTACCAAATATACAATACAGATATGGACATATGCATACATATGTATATACATTATACCCGTACATATGCATATGTATGTATCTTGGTTTCTTTGATATTTGATGAAGGCGCCCGTGTCGGGATCCATTCGAAAAGTCGTTATGGCCACTTAATTCGTTTGATGCCAATGAATTGACGTTGACGCCATACCGCTATATCACCGATAAGAGGAGTATGTGTGATGGAGAGAGGGGGGAGAGAGGGACAGAGCTGAGGTAGCCAGACAAAGATATTGTGGAAATCAAAAGTTTCACAGCTCCAACTACAAAAGTGTTAATGTCTGTCACTTAAGTAAGCGACACACACAAGATACACACACATGCACACTGGCATACACTCATACACACACACACACACACAGCACACACGTCGCTGACATTAAGCTTCATCAGAGTTTTCAACTTTTAACTCCAATTTGCATACAAATTAGACGACGAGCACTCAAGCCCGAGTTTTGTTTCTCTTCTTCTTCCCCCTCTTTATGGTATATTTGGGTTTTAGTTTCTCGACCACAACAAAGAGCCGAATCGAAGACAAAAATCCCCATCTTAAATGCAGCCAAGGGCCAAACAGCTACCGATTTTATTATTGATAATGTTCTGATTTATCTCCGCAAAGATTTCGGGCAGACAAATTGCGTTTCACAGCGAGGATGAGATGTGACTTCTTTTGCCCCCCAGGCTGTGCATCTGTATGATCTGCTTCCTCTTCTTCCTCATCATGTTGTTAATGTGAATGCGGTTGCAACTGCATACAAGTGGCAACAACTTTGTTCTTGTCAACTCCATTTAAGCACTTGCGGCTTTCGGTTCCATTTGAGAGCGTCAATCTAAGCATACACTGAGCGAAAACTGTGGCTAGTTTGACTGTTTTTGATTGAATAACTGAAGTGTTTTGCCCAAACACTAATTCAAGTCAAATTCACACGTTTTTCTCTGTTTCAAATAAGATTCCTTCCCCTTTCCCTTTCAGCTAAATTTGTGCAAATTCTATTAGTTTTTTCTTCGAGTGTAGCTGGCATTGGTAAGTGCTATGATTTTATATACCGTTGCCTGCCACAAAATACTTTCGGCTTGTGCATAATTATTTGCCAAAATGTTGTCATCTGCAGGTGTGTGTGTGCGTGTCTGTCTCCTTGTGTCTGTGTGCATTGCCTCTGTCTGCTTGCTGTCAACCAGTGTGACCAAAACCGAGTATACCCGGGCACTCATAAGCGCATTCGTCACAGTTTGTGGGCACAGCTGAAGCTAAGGCTGAGACTGAGGCGCTCTGACTCTCTGTGGCTGTGGCTGTGGCTGAGGTTGAGGATCGCTGCGAGCTGTTCATTAATTGGCATGCATTTTGTGCCGTTTGACGACGGACGTGGCACAACTTCATCATCGGGAGCCGCAGCAAACAAAGGAGGCGACATTAATGCATTGCTCGCCGAAGGGGCGTGACAAATTTGACAACAACAACAGCAGCAACAATGGGCAATGACTTTATTACCAATGTGACACTCGTGGCTGGCTTCTAACAGCTCATGTCGCATCCCTTCCCGTTGCCATTGTATATAATACAACACTCCCAGGAGCTCGTTCTCTCCATCCCGAGGGGATTGAGGACTCTGCCAGCTGCCCGTCGCTAGGTCCGTCTGTCTGTCTGTGTGACAATAAACACTTTAGCTATTTATGAGGTTTTAATGAACACACTCGGGCTCGGGCTCGGGCCGCCATCTTGTGCTGACTAATGAAAAGGATACCGATACATGCATTTGGCTTATGAATTTGCACAAATTTTTTTGTAGGCGTGGCGAATGTGACTCGAGTGGCCGGGCTAGGGGCGCGCGCTAATTATGATTGACAGGGCGTGTCGCCTCTATTGAGGCGCCCAATTAAGTCGCATTTTGTAATTGATTTTGAATATGTTTGGATGGCAATGGCAATGGCAAAGGCAAAGGCAAAGCTGACGAACGCATAGTTGCTATGCGGCAATAACTTTTCTAAATTGAAGTGAACAATAACTAAGAGGTATTATAGGCGGGTCGTTACGACTAGCCCTGTATTAAGAAATTGAAGTGAAATAGTCAAGTCGCAAGAACTTTGAATCTGCAGCAATCGGACAAGTAGATATTTGTAGCTCCCACAAATCACCTTGATATCTACAACAATTGTAGTCTTCCTTCTGGGTGCATCATAGTTGAGCATATTACTGAGATACCCTAACTACATATATTCAATAAATCTAGAACTACAACAACAACATCAAGAGCAACAACTACTACAACAGCAACAATGGCCACATTTAATTCAGTCAAGTGCAATGCATTTATCAAGCCACACGGCCATCTTATAAGCAAAATAGAACATGAAACGAAAGAAACTAACGGCAAATGCCAAGCAACGGCATTGAAAGATAACAAAAACAAAAGCGAAACGAATCTAAACATAAATTGTCGCACATTTAATACTCTTTGATTCTCGCTAGATTACTATATGATACACTAGCTCAATCTTAAACAAAGTTTTTAAATATTTTTGTTTCACACTTGTATCCTCACTTGTCACATTTCAAGTGACTTAGCTAAGTTGTGTGCATCCGGTTAGGGTATATAAAATGTATTATCGATTCCGGTTCAACAGTTGCATCATTTCACTTAGCTGAAAACGTGGTCGAGTGGAGTGGGAAGCGCATTGCAGTTAAATAGACATTTGCATGCAAAAGATATGTCGGAAAAAACCAGGACAAACAACGAAACAGAAATTGAATAAAACACAAACACAGAAACACATACATACACACAAACATACGTAATAGTGCCAGAGCTGAGCTGAGCGAATGTGATTTACTGCAATCAATTTAAATGCAATGCAATGCAATGCAACGAGAGCGAGGGGTGTGAAGGGTTGACGCAGGGAAAGGGACAGCGAGTGTGGCAATGACAAACGCGGCAGAAGAGCCCAGCAGGGATGAAGGCAGCGCAACTCCAAGACAAAACGAATGTATGCCAAAGCAAAATATACAAACAAATACACATATGCAGATATGTATAACTGTATGCCTGGCTATAAGAATGAGAATGGGGCAATGACAACAACAACAACAACAGCAACAACCGACGACGACGACGACGACGACGACAACGACGACACCTTCCCAAAGCTGATTTTAAAGACTTTTGCGCAAATTGCCGCAGTCAGCAAATACATCAGCGGCGAAAATAGGCACTCCACAAAGGCGAAAAGGCAAGCGGCGAACAGGCAAAACAAGCGACAGCACAAAAAAGAGTCTAAAACGGTACAAGCAGCGACTGAAAACTAGACATCATTATTGATGACAATTGAGTGCGCCAGCGAGCAGCTGGACAGGAGCAGGAGAAAAAGGAGAGAAGAAGAGCGCGTGTGGTAGGTGTGCTGCGAGAGCGAGTGAAGAGGACAGAGAGTGAAGCCCCAGCAATTACGATAATTAACACAGTCAGCGGCGCGGAAAGGCAGCCTCACTCCACACCACACCACACACACAAGCACACACACAGCACACTCACTCACTCACACACAGACGCTACGAAGCTAACGAAAGAGGCAATAACAATGAGAGAGCGAACGTGTGAGCGAGCGAGCGCATGTCAAATTGTAAATATTGATGACGCTCGCACGTTGACAGGCCAGAGAGCGCAGCACAGACGTGCGAGTGAGACGGGGGGTGCGCGTGATGTGGCAGAGAGCGTATGCTTAGCGCTGATTGGCCCACTCAAAGCACGCCTCTGCTTGTGCGGCAATTCCAATTAGAAGGCGGACTGCGCAGCTGCAGCTGTGACGTCATCAAACTTGTTTGTCGACCACAGAGAGCGAGCGCGCGAGAGTGGGAGAGAGGGAGAGAGCAAACGAGAGCCAGAGCCATTTTAACTAAGCTGCGAGAGCAGTCGCAGCGGCAACGCGCGTTTGCTTTGTTGAATGTGGAACGTTGCACGTTGAGCGCCAGACGCTGTCGCTGTCACAGTCGCAGTCGCCGTACTTGCCGCGTTTTTGCCGACGCGTTTTTTATCGAATGTTTGTGTGAGACGAAAACTGACGCTAAATCGTAATTGTAACGTTAAGTTTTGATTAGTGTTAAAAATGCCGCAACGAACGCCAAGTCCCGTTGCAATGATTGGCACGCGTAGCTGTAGCAGTCCGGCCGTATCAGAAATTTCCGTGGGTTCGCCCAGCCCACCGCCACTAACCATGCGTCCACTCAATATCAAACGCCTGCGCCTCCTGCACAGCCCAGCAACGCTCCGGAAGGGATCGGGATCGGGAGGGGGATCGGGATCGGGAGCGGGAGCGGGCGCAGGTGAGCGCATCAAAAGCTTTTCCATAGCCGACATACTGGGCCAGGCAGATGAGCGAAAATCCGAGGAGCGATTGCAGCCAGCTGCATTAGTGGCGCCACCAGCAACAGTTGTTACTGTCCCCGCACCCGGCTTGTTGCCTCATCCTGGCTTGCATCCGTTTCTGCCGCCCGTGCTGCTGCACAGCTATGAGCAGCGCTTGGCCTGGGACTATCAGCGCCAGCTGCAGGAGCATTTCCAGGCACAGCTGTTGCGCCAAATGAGCATGGATCCCGCCATCATACCAATACCATCCGACGATGGCAGCTCCGATCGCTCGCAACGCTCCAACAGCAGCAGTAGCAGCAGCATCAACGGCAGCACCGACTGCTGCACGACGCCCAGCCAAAGCAAAGAGGAGGCAGCAAAGCCCGGCCAGCAACACCAGCACCAGCAGCAGCAGCAACAACAACAGCAACAACAACAGAAGCAGCAGCAGCAGCAGCAAAAGCAGGCAGCAGGCGCCGATACGCCGCTCGATGCGCTTTTCCAGCTATCGACCAAAAACTTCGATGAGGAGCAGGGTAAGTGCAACGTGCAACATGCAACATGCAACGTGCAACAATTGGTGGCAACCGCAAGTAAATTACATTTTAATATAAATCGATTTGCTACTGAATCAGCTCTGGCATTCACTTGATCAATTGCTGTGCGCTGTACGCATTGCCACTACGAGAGTGGGGTATATTGGTTCAGTGTAAATTCATGCTTATATCAAGCAAAAGTGAATATCGTTTACCATTTTATTTTTCGATCGATTTTTCAATCATTAATCAATCAATTATATCTTAATAAGATAAATCAATTTGTTAACAAGTTAAATATCGATAATAAGGAATATTTATATATAAGACTTATCTTTATTTTGCATGCCCCGATTTGACCTGCACTACTTTTTGTAGGCTGTTTCCCAGTCGTCCAATCGAAAAAGCTGCCTTGTTGCCTGCTATCATTACGTCTTGATGAGATTCTGCTTAAAGCGTAAAAACAGTAGTGAGGTCAGCGCCAGCGCTGAGGTGGCTAAATCAATTTTATCCATTGCTCGACACGGTTTCGACTCGACTCCGATTTGGTTTTTACCCACCCCCTCCAGGTCCCCACTGCCCCTCCCTCGACACTTTCATGATTGCCACTCTGATCTCTGATGATGGCTGCGGCACATGCGTATCGTTCGGCAATAATTTGCTTGGCGGCGTTGAATTCTCGTTAAGGCCAGGCCAAGAGACAGCGAGTCTTGCAACAGCTACTGAAATTGAATTTACGCGCTGCACGTACTACCACAAATTGTGGCAGACAGACGGCAAGCGATAGCTACTTATGGCACAGCTACTGGCATTGACTGTTTACGATTATGATTGTGATTATGAGATGCAGAGCTCTTTTTCTTCTGTTGTTTCGTTATGCAGAGGGGGGGTTTCGCAACGAGCTTGGAGCTTGGAGCTCGGGCCTGCGAGATGAGATAAGTTTTTCCCATGGGCCCAGACGACCATCCGGCTGGCAATCTTGGCTAATAAGAAGTTGATCAAAAGCGCAACGCGCCGACTCGCCGTGAATCTTGCCTGCTTCCGGCTGCAATTAGGAGGAGTTCTACAAGCCAAATAACCCTCATTGCGACAAAGCTTTAATAAATGAAAATGGAAATGGAAATGGAAAATGAGGTGGCATAAGAGAGAAAGAAAGAGAGAATGGCAGAGAGAAAGGGAGAGAGGAGTGGCGCGAGAGAAAATGGCTGAAAAGTTGTTGCGATTTGGTACAATGAAATTGTCGTTAGGCGCTCGTCAATTAAGAGGCGCAGTTTCATCAACTAAATGTATATATATATATACAAATAAATATATATATGTATACACAAAATAATACTTAATAATGGCCAAGGCACGGGCTGCCAAGACAATTGAAGTGGAGTATGAAGCGGGCGGCCCAGGCCTAGCGGATGCAGCCCTAATTACAATTTAATTACTGCAAAAGGCAAAAACTTTTCCCACTTGACAAAGACGCAGCCAAGTGTGAACCACAACAGCAACAGCAACAGCAGCAATAATAACAATACCAAAGAGAAGATCTTCAGTTGTCAGTTGATTTGACAGATAGCAGTGTAAACATTTTACAACATGCGGGCAGTCCCAACAAATTAGTTCAACTAGACGTATACTTAATGTCCCATTTGAAGCTGCTGCCAAAAAGCTGTGCTAACTAAACACATGCGAGAGAAAGACGAAGAAGCAGAACTAGCTGAAGAAGTGCTTAGCATAAATTCATATAATTGCCAAAGCTAAAAAATGCAAATTGCTTTTTAACGTTAAACATCGTTAGAATAATAGATTTCGTCACGTCAGCGTCAATTGTCAAGTCTTTTCTATCTATCATATATGTATGTATGTGTATATAGAAGTGTATACATATATGTGTGTGTGTTATATTTGTAGCACATCCAATGCCCAACAATATTTGATTGTGGATAATTGGCTTTTGGTCTCTTCTCTCTTTTGACATGTAACCCAAACGAGGCGTTGCCTTGTTTACAGCTCTGCTAGGAGAGAATCACTCACACCAACACATTCATATGAATACACTGTAAAAAATGATGAATATTTTTAATTTATATTATCTTGAATGAATCAAGAAAAATGTGACATATTTACAGAAAAGAAAAAAAAGAAACAAAATACTTGGACTGCATATGAAATACAGCAATCGTATATTTTTTAACCTTTTGTGGCTTACGAGGGGGAACCATATTCTAAGTCGAAAGACATATAAATTGAAAAAAAAAATCAATGCAACACATTCTTGACAGACTAAATTATATATAACACATATCGGAGTACAAATGTATATGTATATTAAATGAAATTCAATCAATTTTTTGCACTGTGCACCAACACACGGCAGAAACATGACAGCTTTAAATGGCGTGCCATGATTATCGAACGCCCCTCATCTGCCACGCCCCACATATGAATATATACATATATATACAAATATGATATTCTGTACACAGAGAACATGCAGCGATGTCTGCATGGGCATTAGTCAGATAGATATCTGACATATTAGGAGCAATTTGATTTATAATTTCCACTTGCATTATTTGCCCGCATTTCAAAATCGGATAAAGATAGTATGTGTATGTATGATTGTGTGTGTGTAATTATTATGGAAATTGTGTGTAGTTTGGATAAGCTAATAAGCAGTTAGTGCAAATCAAATAACAGATAGACTACATTGATAATAGGAGCAGAGAGCAGTTCCGCTTTGCAATTGTTCAAATCAAACTGCAAACAATCGCTAATTATACCCTGTATCTAAATTGAATAATATGAAGATTAGCTGCTCGCCGTTTAAAGAATCTGTAATCAAGACGCATGCAGAATATTGTAGATTCTGCTTATTTGATTCAAGGATCCCACAATACTCAACCCTATTCCCTATAGAGAATTTTAAGACTACGAATACTCTCGTTCTCTGCAATATAATTAATTGATGCTTCGATTGGCAAATGCTTTCGCAACAATTATAATCGAATCAGTGACAAAAACACACTTGAGAATCGCAACCTTCGAGTGCAAATGCAAGTTCACGCTATTTAAATGCTTAACGGGAAAAGGTGAGCGCATCACGCGGTATTTTCGCCCATTGAGCAATCATAAACTAGTAGTTGGCAAAAATCAACAGCAATTTCCAAACATAAATCAAGCAAACAAAAAGAAAATCCAATAGACAAAAGAAAAAACAATTAATTTCGAATGATTAATAGCAGCGCAACGTTTCAACAAAAATTTGTTAATGACATTAAAACCGGCAACAACAAGATGCAACAACAACAACAACAACAACAGAAAATATGGCTATAATAAAAATTACAAAGTAAAAACCGCGAATCGTTTGCGATTGCCTCAATAAAATTAATAAAATGACTTCGGGCGCAAAAAAAAAAAAAAAACGAGAAAAAGAACGAAAAAAAAGTGAAAAACAACATTCTTAGAACGTGCGATCAATGGGCGGTGCTTGAGAGCGGCGGCATGGCATGAAAAATTGCTAAAGAAACACATACGAGTGCTCTATGGAAAAGTGATGGACTAGCAGATACCCTGGCCAAATGAAATAGGTAAGAGGCAGAAATAGGTAATTTTAATAGAGATGCTTGCATAGAGAATACTAAAGAAATAAATAGGCAACAATTACTGATTATTGAATATACCCCACTACAACATATATAAAACAGGGTATGCAAAGTGGACACATGCCTTGAGGGGCATGGCTAGCAAACAAGTTGACAAGCTGGCGCTCGCATAAATTCACTAATTAACAGTTGCGCCAAGTGTCCAAACAGTTAAAAACTTTAAAAAGAAAAAATCAAAAATTCAAAAATATTTTAGTAAGAATTTTGTTAGAGAAAATTCGCGTGTTGTGTGGCCATAAAAGATTTGCATTTCTAGTTGGCCATTAAGAATGCGAGAGAAAAAACTTGCGACTTGCGATTGCGTGGCAACAGATTCTGTTTTGTTCAGTTTTCTTTTTTGCCATTTGCTTTCACTGCGCTCAACCTGCCCCCGCCGCGGGGATGCATGCCACACACACACAAATGGGTGGTCCGCGCAGAACCTTTAAGCAAATTGCAGCACACACACACATGCACACGCCGGTCTTATAAAAGGTGTGCAAAAGCAACGCACTGAAGGTGTTACCTGCACGCTTTTGATGAGCACTAATTGAGCTCAAGTTGCATTTTTCTTAGCCGTCAAGATCAAAGCCGGCGAGCCGGCCCAATAAAAGAGTCGAGAGACAAGCGAAAATCAGGCATCGACAGTTGCCAGCGAAGAGCAAACGAAAGAGAGAGAGAGAGAGAGAGAGAGTGAGATCGAGAGGGAGAGCAAGAGAGAATAAGTGAGTGAGAGTGGTAATAACTTTATCAGGACAAACCATATGGGAGGCCCAACTGTTGTCCAAAGAGAAGGAAGCCAAAACAAATGAGTTCGGAGTTCGAGTCGGAGTCCGTTCCATTGCCAGACATATGGGCGGCCCTTGGCGAGTCAGGACCTTGTCAAAGCTCTTAAAAACGCATTCACATTCGTACATTCGCATTCGCATTCGCATTCGCGTTTATGCCAAACATTAATCAACAGCAGTGGCGGCAGCAACTACAGACTTGAGCTGCGAATTTTTGGGCATGTGTTTGGCTTTGAGGAACATCAAAAGCCCGCGCCACGCACATAAAAAGCCATTTAAAAACGCATTTTCTGCATTGCCCCAACAGCTGACCCCGCGGCAAGCCATGGCCCAATGCAATTGCAGTCAGCAGTGAGGAGATTGATGCGTTCAGAGACAGCCCAGGCCCCAATGCGGCAAAGCGAGATACGCAAAGGGGCTGGAAAACGCACTGGAAAAGCTTCGATTGACTGACTGACGAACTGACTAACTGACGGGCTGACTAGAGCTCGTTATCGCCGAGACTCACTGGGCGGGGGCATTATGTGGGTCACTTGGCGCCTTGGCATAGAGAAACCAGTTTTCCCGCCAACAA